CTGTGGCAGACACATCCAAAATGGGCGGGGCGTACTCAAGGTGGGCGGTGCTTCTCGCAAAATTCAGTAACCCGGTTCGCGAGAGTGTTTGGAAGTCGCAAAAACTCAGTGTAGAATGTAAATATCTGGCGAATATAGGGCACGCTCAATGTGTTGAGACCCGCCCACAGTGGGCGGAGCTTGCCCTAAATCGCAGGGTATTCATTTAAAGTTTGTAGCTCGGTTCCAGAACACTCCAGACACCGGAAAAAGTGGACTAAGGTCAGCAGAGGGTCGCCGGTGAGGATTGTGGGGCAAAAACATTGTGGGCGGAGCCTGCTCCGAGGTGGGCGGAGACAGACAAAGAGGTCTGTAAAACGGTTCCAGAGCACTCCTGAAGATCGGAATAAAGTGAATTCAGGTCAGCAAGGGGTCCCGATTTAGAAATGTGGGGTATCCTTTCATTCTATAAACCAGTAACTTTGTGTGTCGGTTTGTATGTTTGTATGTATGTAGGTTTGTATGTATGTTTGTCTGTCCGTCCGCAAAATACTTCACGGGTTCGAGTTCGCTGGAGGCGAAAACGACCGCTAGGCAAACAGGCAAATCGGTGCGGAAGTATCAATCCAATGTTTTGATCGTGATATCGGCCTCCGCTATATAAGACAACCATTCGGTACACTCCGAGCCATTGCACGAGCTGCTGGCGTGGCAGCTGGACGTGTGCTCGTGCGGGGGCAGGGTGGGGTGGGGCCGAGAGGGGGGGGGCACTGCCCCCCCCTCTGCTTCCTTCCCCTGCGCGTGCTCAGCCCGATCTGAGCATGCGCAAGAGAAGGAAGGGGACGGTCCGACTGGAACACTGGGGCGTTTTTTCAAGGTATGATATAGGTTATGGCACAGGAATATGTGGGTGACAAGAACTGCTAGCCGCTGATAAAGGGAGTTAGAGTGGAAAGGACAACATACTCATAACGCGGTACACAGCATCAGTTAGGCGTTGATTTCAGCAAATGATATCAAGGGGAAGGTGGAGAATGCGACGGCGGGTGACAAGAACTGATAGGGCCTGATAGAGAACGATGCAGTTGTTGTTCAATCAAACGCTGGAGCCTCTACACCACGAAATTATGGAGTTTTAGTGATAGCGACATTGATGACGGAGTGACAAGCAATTTTATCAATTGATAAGTAAAGATAAGGGGACATTTTCACGACATCTCTGACCACTACACTGCCAAAAAAGCCTCTCAGTAAGCGAAATTTTCCCACAGCCATCACTCCTCTGATAGCACTAGAAAATGTACTCATCCCACTAGGGGGGGTATATACTTCGCCTGAAACAGGAAGTTTGGAGAAATCAAAAACTCCAATATTGGAACACACTTTATGCGTTCAGTGAGTATTTAAATATTTTTTTTGCTTTTCAACATTAAATCACTGATGAGAACGAATAACGAAGTAGTTTGTAAGATATTCAATGAACGCTGCCTAAATATTGTCATCTGCAGCCATTCATGCAACCTTAGCAGGTGGATTGCATGTTAATGACAAGTTAATCGCCCATCGTTGGTGTTGTGATGCAGGTAATAAAAACGGAATGTGTTCATCTACTGTGCAACACATATTGATATTCTGTACTTCCTATCTATTTCTGAGATCTACGTATAGAATGGGCGTTATGGCCGAAACCAGCACGCCTTCCGCAACTCTGAGGGGTGCAGATTTCGCTAGGTTACTCTGTCTATTATGATTCGACCACTACCGCGCAATATGAGCAGTTCCTACAATTAACTAATTCCATCCCGTTATGATGTGCGCAGCAGCTCCCCGCTCGACGGTAGCTTTTTCTGAGGAAAAACGAGAATTCTCGGAAGTTTGGTCAGAAGGAAGTCGAGTGAAATGTTGGGAGAGGGTAGGTAAGATAGGGAGAGGGAGGGGTCGTACTAGAAGAGGAAATTTCGGGAGAATGTGGTACTTTGTAAAATTTTTCCTCAACAGCAGGACGTGCCCTGATTAAAAACGCGAACATTAATCCATTCAAAACTTAATGGCAGTGAAATGTGCACTTCTCCTAGACCTTCCCCGACAGTTGCAAGGTCTTTACATGGTAATACAGACACTTTGGAGATCAAGTACTACGTGGTATCGCGGCACTTTTTCAAGTTTTTATTGTTGCTTCTTGATTTTTCGTTCTGCCCAGTAGGCAGAAATCGCAGTTGCTGGAGTTCTGGAGACAAAACAGCTGTAGAACCGAATTATCAATACTAAAATGGCTCTCAGTGCCCTGGTTCCTGAAAAAGGGCCTGGAGAGGCTCCTGAGAAGATGAATGTTGCTGAAAGGATAGCTGGATAAAAATCTGTTTCAAGAAGGCGAAATCATAGTTCCTAAGAATAACGTGGTGTTATTCATTTTTATGGTGATGGTTTACTATCGGTAGTTCAATTGTACGAGTACAGCAGGCTGAGAAATACAGAAAAATTTTAAAACATGTAAAGGTAGCTCGTAGGAATTTATTAAAGCTACACAAACGACGTACCCAGCAGATTTAG